CATCAGGTCTTAAAGGGGCAGCAGCCTAATAATACCTGCTGCTGTCATTATGCTCATCAAACCACAAAACACGTTTTTGACAAAGATTAATCTTTTTTTTTTTTTACAGTGAACACTATGCAGTTTTATTTTACACTTCATTACATTTCTGAATCTGAATACTTCCGACCTTATTTGTAACATTGTTCCGTGGCTCAAAAACCGTAATATGATCCGAACCGTGAGATTTGTGATCCGTTGAACCACTAGAAGGAACTGTGTGTGTGCTTTGACATCTGGGATGAATTTACAAATGAAAAAAGCAGGCATGTTAGTGCTGTTGAGGGGAGGGGCTTGTCTGAAAGGGAGGTGCATAGTAGGGACTTACTACATTTCTGTGTATCGCTATTGGCCCTCTTAAACCTGCCTCTCAGTGTATAGCTGTCAGGTGTCTATCATAGGGATTGTGATTCATTCTGTGAGCTCCTGCGAGCTTCATTGTATGAGACAGTCAGATGTCCCAGATTTGTGATCATTATGAGGTTATGGGAACCGTAGCATTCTAAACGTTGATATAATGAGGCTTATGGTGAAACGGTGAAAGAGCATCACTCATCTCAGCTTTTTCTGCTTTCTCTGTCCTCTTTGCCTCTTGCATAAATCTTTCATGTTTCAGCCCTGCACTAAAATGTCCTGCATGTAGCAACATTAGAAATGTTCACTGATTAAGTGAAATGGCTTTCTTTATAGGGGCTTTGCTTGCACTACAGCCTCATTTAACCCATGTTTGATTGCTGATAATTTCCAGTTTTGGAAGATTTTCACTTGGAGTGTTTATTGAAACAACATTTTATTAAAATAATTGCTCAAGTGTGTTGATTTGTAAGTCGAACCCTACAGCTGATCTCTGTTCTCGCTTTAATTGTTGTGAATATGGCTAACCAAATACAAAGTTACTTACTGCCACCGAATTAACATAGGGACTAGATTACAGCCTATCCTCGGTTGCTTCCCACTGACATATTTTACATTTCTAGCTTCCTGTCTACTCTGCCCTTTGAAATAGACCCGTTGATGAAACAAAGTGTCGGGTGTGTCTCTTGGTTTGCTAACACAATTCTGAGTCTTGGCTCCAATGTGTAATTGTGTAATCTGCAGATTTTTTACATGCCTCAGTAACTGAATTTTGATGCTGAATCATCGTGAATCACAACAACAGGGCTGTATCGTCATAGGACGCAGGGCGGCAGGTTCACGCTGTGATTCAGCAGACGGCACGTACTCCATAATGTGTGTGATATTACATGAATTCTTTTGTGTCTGTGTGTGGTTGTTCAGGAGGAGAGGATGCGTCGTGGGGATGACCTACGGCTCCAGATGGCTCTGGATGAAAGCCGCAAAGACTCCAACACAGGGAAAATAGCCAAGAAGAAGAAAGAGGTAGGTGCAGCCTCTGAGCGCTTCAACTCCTCATCAGCAGGCCTGAACTGAATCTGTGGCCACACAAAACTCTGCAGAAGGTTTACACATCCCTTACCTCTTGCATGTTCATTTATTAAAGGGACAGTTCACCCAGAAATGAAAATGGTCATCATTTGATCATCCGTATGTCATTCCAAACATGTATGATATTCGTTCTTCTGTAGAACAAAGACATTTTACCTGAATGTTCATTCTACGCTATTTCAAATATCAAAAGCATATAGTGATCGGGGGCTGTCAAGCTTCACAACCCTGTGAAAGTACAGTATAGGAACTGTTACTGTACATATTATGCATCATATTGAAATCTTGATCATACTGAAAAGACAAATGGCTAATTTAATGATGCTAGCTAACATAAGAGTAGAGAAGAACTCTCTTTTGTACAGAATTTTGTACAGAAGTAGAGCAGACTTGGTTTTTTAGTCAATATTTTGACTTTAAAATTTTTAGTTTAATATTTATGAATATGTAAATACACCACTGCTACAAAGTTTGGGGTCAATAAGATTTTTATCTCTTATGCTCAATTTATTTGATCAAAAATACAGTAAGAACAGTAATATTGTGAGATATTACAATTTATGTGTATGTACATTAAATTATTAAAATTTAGTGTTTTCTATTTAAATCTATTTTAAAATGTAATTTATTCCTCTGATGCAAAGCTGAACATTCATTAGCCATAAGTCCGGTCTTCAGTGTCAGTGTCTTCAGAGCAGCATTAACTACACAGAGCCGGTGTTCACTGACAAGCTGCGCAAAGCCACGATCATATTTTGCGCATGTTTTGTGCAGCTTGTTGGTGAACAACGGCTCTGTGTAGTTAATGCTGCTCCATGTGAAAGCCCGCACGTGATGGAGATTTATCGCTGATTACAGAATGGCTTTACTGACAAGATGCGCGTTAAATATTGCATGCGATTTATCGTGCAGCCCTATTATCAATGTTGAAAACAGTTGTGCTGCTTAATATTTTTGTGGAAACTTTGATATACTTGAAAAAGTTTAAAACAGCATTTATTTGAAATATAAAACTTTTGTAACCTTAAGAATGTTTTTACTATCACATTTGATCAATTAATGTGGGTGTATTATTGACATGTCAAAGTCTAGACCCTGAATATAAGACAACCGCGTTTTTTCAGATGTATTTCCAAGAAAAAAACATTCTTATATTCGGGACAATACGGTAATACTTCCTTGTTGAATAAAAGTATTCATTTCTATAAAAGAGTATTACTGAGCCCATATATTTTAACAGTAGTGTATTTTTAGGGCTCTTTTAAAAATGTTTTTAGATGGGGTATAAGCTGTCACTCCACAGTATGTCAACTTTCCAAATGTATATTACCTGAAAATGTTCAGTTACCTAAATTCTGATTACTGTGTAATCCTAAACTATACTACCAGTTTTTGTGTTTATACTACTATAAGCTAAATAATGTCACCACTAAAGCCATTTCATTAATCTCTTCAATGTACTTTTTCCCTTTATTTGCTTGCGGAATTGTTTACTCATAATGTGAGTATTTATGTTCAGATCAGCTTCCAAGTTCTTATTCACTAAAGCTGATGTGATTGCTTTGGATGGTGAGATATATCTGTGGGCGCTAATCTCATATGTTGTGTGTGTGTAGCCTCCACAGTCTTCTCTGATGGATTTGATGGAAACGGTTCCCAAGGGCCCTGCCGATCAAACATCGGACCCTTGGGGAGCAGGAGCTGCAGCAGCAGGCCCCGCCTCAGACCCCTGGCAGTCCTATGGTAAACAGACACACACAAACTTGGGCTTAACAGTATCAGTTAGATTGTAAATATCATGATGGTTATAAAGCACTTTTGGTTGGCAATTATGTAGTGTGTCGATAGACTTGTTCGTCTTGGTCTTGTGTTAATTAAAATTTTTACATTTAAACATCTGCTTGGCAGCAGTGAAATGGATTGAATGATTCGTCAGGAGGGAAAAAAATCACCCTTTTAAACCATTTTGGAGAAAACGCATAAATATTCAATTCCAATTCTGTCAAATGGATGAGGAATATATATCTAAAAACAGACACTATTTTTAGTTTTATTATCTTGAAGGCAGACACACAAACACTAGCTAGTTTCTCAAGTAAACACCCTTCACATACAAGATCACATTTGGCTGTGGCTAATAATAGCACATTGACAACAGTTTGTATCAGCTTCCTGCTGTGCTGATCACATTGGGCTTTGTTCTAAAAAAAAAAAAGAAGAGCACTTATCCCACCAGGACCATTTGCATAATAGATACTAGCTTTATTGTTACAATTTAAGGCAGATTTGAATAAAATTTTATCAAATAAAAAAAAATTATTGGTCAGAATGTGAGGACCACCTGTTTACCAAAAGCCCACTTTTCTTTTAGAGCCCCCCTTCCCCCTCAGGCTCTATTTCATAATGTCGTTTGGGCCTGTAGCTCTTCGTGGCAGCTCAGTAATGTAGTTAGGCCGGTAGTTGTGCATTCCAGTGTGAACAAAACAAAGAGACTCAGTATTCAGATCTGCACTGGTTGAGAGAGCGCTGAGCCTGTAAAGGGTTCCTCTTCCAAAAGCCTAGTTCTTTTAAGTTTAAGCGGGACTAAAGTCATGAAGCGTATGGAGAGAAGCACTGAGGCAAGTGTGCATGTCCTCTTGAAGTGGAAACAGCAAATACTGCCAATTCGAACACCAGTTTCACTGTATATTCAATAACCTTTATTCCCATTTTACTTGTACTTGCCTGTCACACTCATTTGTAAAATAGAATTTCTGTTGTTGTTGCTACTGTTTTTAATATAATTTTAGGATTGCCAGTAGATTTAAAATAATGGATTGATCTCATATTTTTGTGGTATATGTGATTCATCTTAAAGGGGTCATATTCTCGCTGTAGTATTGTTGTTGCTGCCGCCATGTCGTGAAGACGCTGTGTGTTTCGTTGTGAAAGCGAAACTACTTTGTTTGGCCTTCCAAAAGAGGACGATATCCGCTTCGTCATGCCTAGAGCTGATCCGTGCTGGTCGCTGAGGAAATACATCAACTTCGCGCTGTCGATCGCCGGATCGGCTTTCACCATGGACGAAGTGGAGTCCAGCCCGGGGTCGTCACATGTGGTTGCCGCAAGCCCGCAGGCCGCTCCTTTGTCGAATCCGCCGGCCGCCGCTCACTCTGGCCTCCGTGTGTGATGCTCTGTTTCGTTGTGAAAGCTAAACTACCCGCCCGTAAAAAGACGGTATAAGTCATTATAATCCGTAATTATGTCCCCACTGGATGCAACAAATGCAACAAATGTTTATAATGGGTTTTAATGTATTTGTCTCGTCGCTCTGGCCGGACAGGGCATCACAATATGGTGAGTGGCGTAACATTTCCGTCACACGCTTGAGGTATTCGGCCAATCACAATGCACTGGATAGCTGACCAATCAGAGCACACCTCGCTTTTCAGACCGATGAGCTTTGTAAAAATCGACGTGTTTCAAAAAGGCGGGGCATAGAGGAGAAACAATAATGTATAGTATGTGGAAAATAATGTGTTTTTTTAACCTTAAACCGCATAAACACATTTCATTACACCAAATACACAAAATGTTCTTTTTAGCAACATCATATGACCCCTTTAAACTTGGAATTTGAGCGTGGTCTCCAAATAGTTCTTTTTCTCTTCCTGAGTTCCTGTCATATTGTAGTTTGTACAGGTTTAATCCGTTTGGTTTCTGTTCTAAGGAAGTTAAATATTAAATGGGTCCTATTATGCTCTTTTACAGTTATGCTCAAACAGCAACATTACAGACTAACTAAAAGTGAAAAAGCATAATAGGACCCCTTTAAAGGTGAAGATATATTATTGATGATGTGACAGTAATTCTGTGGCCTTCTCATTTATATCAGTATGCTCTTAATTGTGTTGTGCTTAAAATTGTCTAGTTCAATGCATCTTGTGAGTGATTCATCTGTGCGTTTTTTTATTTTTATAACATTTTGTCATTTTAAATCAAAATGTCATAACTCAGTCTTGTCATGTCAGACTAAGGCTGCGTTTACACTGGCACAAAAAAATCCGATCTTTCGCTCACATCTGACACAGATCGGAATTTGTTGCACACGTGTAAACACAAAAACCCGCACAAGATTAGATTTTTTTGCATCCGATCTGAGCCACTTCCAAATGTGGATTTTAATTATCCGTTCAGTCAGATTTTGTGCTGCAAAACATCCATGACAGCCGTTGTCCATGCTGGCAAATAATAATGGCCATTCGACGTGAATTATATAAATAATTTTAATAGCACGGCCATTTAAAACCCGAGGGTCTACCATGTGCATAGTAAAGCGATCACTGCAGACAATCATTTTGGGTGGGAATTAATGTAAACACAGATATCGCATACCAGTCGTGTCTAAAGTGAATGTAAACAGACGTGCCAAAAAATCGGATATGGTCAAAAGATCAGATCTGTGCATTAAGACTTGCAGTGTAAACGCAGCCTAAGGCTCTCATTCAGATCTGCTTCCATTCAGTCAACAACCAATGGATAGAAACATGTTCAGGCACTGTTTTTTTTCTTCTTTTTTTCAATAATCAGTTTCATTCGGCTTTCACATTATGGAAGAATAGATCTGCTGCTACGTCCATTATATTGCAACTCATTAGGGTTTGATTTTGTTTTTAAAAAATTAGCTCTAAAAAAAGCATTTTTCAGGTATTGATAAGAGTCAGAGTAAGGGGAGTGGCAGTGGTTTTTCATTGTAGTGTTACCTATGGTGTTACTTAACACATCTGTGTGTATCTTCCAGGTGCAGCCCCTAAGCCAGCTGCTCCTGTGGATCCCTGGGGTCTTCCTAGTGCCTCTTCCTCAGTTGCTCCTCTGAAAAGCAGTGACCCCTGGGGGTCGACCCCGGGTCCTGCAGCTGCTGATCCCTGGAGCTCAATGCCTGCCACCCGCCCCAAAGCCCCTGCCACAGGTGAGCTCTGAAAACTGAAGTTCACGTTAAAATGTATTTATGTGTTACATTGAGAAATAAGACTGTTCTCTTATTTTACATTCTTGAATATTACAAATTAAAAGCTTTCTTCAATTTTAATCCCAACTGTCATCCCTCAGTGTGTAGCTTTGATCTTTTCTCCACACCAAATGGTACTTCCAGGGAGGACCTCTCTGAGTTTGACAGTCTTCGCTACTCAGCAGTGACAGGTAAAAGCTGAATACTACAGTTTACTAGTTAAAAGAAGTGTCGTCTGTTGTTTGGGAATGACATGAGGATGTGATGTTTATTTTACAGGTGATGGTAGAGGAAGCTCTGCCTTGCCATCGCAGACCAGTTTGTCTGTAGGCTCTGATCTGTTTGACGTACCGAGTGGCCCAACCAGAAAAACTCCAGAGTCTTTCCTGGGTCCCAATGCCGCGCTTGTCAACCTAGACTCTCTGGTCACCAAACTTCCCCAGCAGGCTCCAGTCTCCAACCCCTTCCTCGCTGGAGGTAACCTTAACCAATTACATATTTCTAGTAGGGTTGTGTCGGTGAGGAAATTTTCCCAATTAAATAAGAAACGAATGTTTAAAAAAACTTCCAAAATCACCTTAGATAAACGGCAAAAGTCAACAGGCTTTTCAAAATCCAAAATACTGCCAAACAGGCGCTTTTGCATTTCGTTTCGAAACTAAATCATCCGCGATCGTCTTGTCTGTCTCACCCCTCTCTTCTTGTCAGTCAGCTCGACTCTCTCTCCTCACTGGAGAAATGAAACCTGATCTGTGATGCGACTGTTGTTCGGCACGCTGCATTGAGAGGCCGCGTTCAGTTTTCAATTGTAGTGTCTGTTCTTTTACTGAACTAAATGATTTTTATTACTATAAAAAATCAAAACGACGGTGGGGGTCGGTGCCGCGGTGGGCAAGTATCACCGTCAACACAGTCTATCGCAGCAAGCCTAATTTCTAGGAGATCACTTGTACATTTACAGGGGTCTTGAAATTCAGTTTTATAAAATGCAAGGTCATTTATCATTTTAAAGGGATAGATTTCATTTTAAAATGAAAATTCTGTCATTAATTACTCACCCTCATGCTGTTCCAAACCCGTAAGACCTTTGTTCATCTTCGGAACACAAATGAAGATATTTTTGATGAAATCCGAGAGCTTTCTGACCCTCCATAGACAGCAATGCAGCTGAAATGTTCCCAGACCCAGAAAGGTAGTAAGGACATTGATAAAATAGTCCATGTGACATCAGGGGTTCAACTGCAATTTTACAAAGCTACGAGAATACTTTTTGTGCACAAAGAAAACAAAAATAACGACTTCACTCAACAATTCTCCTCCAAATCACGTCTTCTGCCATTATCGAGAGTACCTCTGCACGTAAACAACGCATGTGCGTGGTTGTAATGTTGCTCAACCTGTTTGTATGCATTGGTATGTTGGTATTGATTTCATTACATTTTTATTAAAACATATTTTGAGCATTTTAAACTTGCAGCTTTTGTGATTGTGTTGGTTTGTTCTGAATAGATAGAGTATTATTTTAATTACAAAGCCTTAAATTTGATTTGAAAAACTCTGCAGACACCCTGATTGTTCTCATTAAGCAGCGCATTCACCTGTACCTCCCTTTGGTCTCGTTTCAGTCTCGGGAGCAGCTTCAGCTCCTGCAGCACAGGTCAACCCCTTCCAGGTGAACCAGCCACAGCCACCCACCCTCAACCAGATGAGAGTCAGTCCCATGATGGGCCTGAGCGGACAGGGCTTCAGCATGGGCCATAGAAGCAACGAGCCCTTGCCTCTGTCCTCAATGCCCCCAGCCGGCCCCGTCTCAATGGTACCCATGGCCGGCATGGCTCCTCTCGGGCCCGTGGGCCAGATGCCAAACATGGGGATCCCAGCCTCCATGTCCATGCCCCAGCCGCTCATGAGCGGAGGGCTGCCGCCCACAGGCGCAGCAACACAAGCCGGCGGCACAACCAACCCCTTCTTATTGTGAGGAACAACATTTACCTCCCCGAAACCCACACGAATCTCTCTCTCATCCCCGTTCCTATGGCATAGACAACGTAGTCTGTTGTGTTCCCCCAAACCTGTGTGCTATTTTGAGACTTTTGGGAGTAGCAGTGGTGTTTACAGGTTTTACACTGGCAGGCGATTCCCTTCCTCTCCTGTCAGAAATTGGTACCATACGACGATTTGGTATTCTTTTCTAAATGTCCTCAAAAGAAACCATCAGCGATACAGCGTCTAGGAGATTTTCTTCCCGGGAGCAACCTTCCTGTTTTTAACTTCTTTTTTTTGATGGCTTACTTTTCTTATCAGAGGCCTGAAACTAGGAGTACTGGTTCGTCTTAATTTTTCTAATTTCTAGTCTTTGAAAGCAGCGTGCTAGATAAAGCTAACCCTTTTAATCTAAGCAGCCTGTACGTTCTACGCAGTGCATATACACTGTGTATTTACAGTACGCTTAAGTAGACTATCTATCAGTTTACATGGAAATGATTTTGATGTTCTAAGCAGGGATTTTGCACATGCTCTGATTTATCTTCTTTTGACTGTCGGCCCACCGTTAGTCCTTAGCGCGAGAAGCGATGGGAAACCATTCACTAAGACACGAGCAAAGCCGAGGACTAGGAGGGAGTCCGCGAACTGCATGTGTGAATGGTTTCAAACCTGATGCCTTGAAAGATGAATTTCATACTGAAGTGGAGTTGTTCTTTCTTCCTTTTCTTTTGTAATGCATGACGGGGAGTTGGTTTGCATATCACAATACAGCTCAACTTTTATACTGAAGCCTGTTTTTTACTGCTTTACAATCCCGAGACGTTGTTTATTGGGTGAATGGGTTCTTTCAATTAAGTACGGCTCACTATTTGCACAGTACAGCTCCATATTCGACAGATAATCCATACTAATGATTAGTATTCATCCGCTTCTCTGTGAGTATCCAACAATCTGAAATGTGATCATTTCAGTAACGTTTTTATTTTTAATTTATGTATGCGTGCGTATGGAAGGAGCAAAGGGAAACGGGAGGAAATGGGTGTTGGTATATCTTCATCAGGTCCTAATGCATCTTACTGTTATAACCGACAGCTGTATAACTAATCACTGCTTCCTAATGCAATCTGTTCATGCACGTCGGGAAAAAAGCCAAGCGTGTATCAGAGCTTGCCTTTAACAAAATCCTCAGTTCTGTATTCGAAGCTAACTTGCTTATAGTGTTACAAGAATGAGTGGACATGCTAAGACAGGTTATAGTGTGGGAGGAGTCTTGTAATAGATTGTATGATTGATTGCTTTTTTTGTTTGTTTGTTGAATATGTGGTATACATGTATGTTAGGGGTCATATGCATCTTTCTACAGCTAGAAACCTGTGGTTGATTTGCATTTTGTATTCATACATTTATTTTGGCCATGGTTTTATCATTAAATGAGACTTAGACTAGACTATGAATTGTTAATCACAATTAGCAGTCCATTTAAAGCGAGAACGCCTAGACCTCGGTGTTTCGTGTGGCTTGCTGTGTCTACACTTTTAATTCAACCAGTTAAGCACAAGATGGCGATGTTTGCCACCAATAGTAGTTACCAAAGTGACATTGCTTGTCGTTTTTAAATGCAGAGCTGCGGTCATTTTTAAACTGACTACACATTTATCTCTCTTCAGTTGTTCCCCAGTTATTATCATTATTATTCCTGCTTTTTTTGATTACGGCTAGATTATTGACTCTACGGTTTCTCTCATCTGTGAGCTAGTGACCTCTGCTGGAAATATTGTGGTAGTACTGCCCATGTGCAGCCTTGTAGCATATCCTGGGTGTTATGGTCAATAATCTGCAGGCATACTCAGGCATTTTGGGGGGTGGGGGTGGCTAAGACAGCTTTAAGAGGTATGTAATGCGCTTTTGATGGCCGTGATGGTTAAGGCAGGCACAGATCCTGCTAAACAAGACTCCCTGCTAGTGAACATCACTGTACTCGATTATGCAGACTAGTTTTACTTTTGAATCCACACGATATCTAGCTCATTTCGTCTCGACCATCTTGTTTTGCTGTTACCGTGTATCACCTGTTCTTCTGTTATTATGTACTCATTATGCATTTATTGTGGAGGACTAACCTTGTGAACATGCATAACATTTTATTTTTCCATGTTAGTGTGTCTGTGTCTTTACCAAACTGTCTCGTATTACTGGGAGCAGGCTGCTTTTATAGATATGTGCTCAACTTGTTGGCATTATGACTGTATAATATAATTTATCATCTGTTCTATTGTAACATATTGTTGTGTACCTTATTTCTGTGTAATGGTTTTGTAGGAAAGTCACAGGAGGAGTGAGATGTTTTATTGCCATCTAAACAGCAGCAAGTGATTAAGGACCTGTAGCTGCAGTGGTAAAACAAATAAATTGTATCAATGACTTTTGATCTGTCCTATTCATGCTGTCAGTAAACACCGACATCACATCTTATTGTGGCACCAGAGCCAGTGTTATTTCAGCAACAATAAGATACTGTTGTAGTTTTTATTAGGGCTGCAAAACGATTAATCCTGAATCGCATTCAAAATAAGTTTGTTCACATACTATGTGTGTACTGTGTATATTTATTATGTGTATATATATATATATATATATATATATATGCGCCATACACACATAGTATGCAAACATCAACTTATTTCGAATGCGATTTAATCGTTTTGCAGCCCTAGTTTTTATTAATATTTTGAATTCTATTTTATTTATTTTTTTCTGTTTTTAATTTTAAAGTTTTAGTAATTTCGTTGTGGTTTTATGATTTTCATTAGTTTATTTAGTAAAGTTTTTCATTTTATTTTAATATCAAAACAAGTGAAAAATGTTGCCTTGGCAATTAGCTGAAACAAAATAAGCGTACTTTTTTTTTTTACATTTCATATCAGTTGTTTATTTCAGTTAACTTTAATGTTTTTGTAGTTTTAGTTCAATATAAAAACCCTGGGCAAAGGTTAATCATAGTTGTGTCTAGGTTTACAATAGGCAAAGATGGAATTTGCAGATTAGAATTGGAATTCAAATTATGCAATCAAATATTAATCAAATGAACTTCTATAAATGCACAAGATCAGTTTATTTAAAAACATACAAAGCTGATAAAGCAATATCACATTTGTATAGCTATAAAGTGACTATGAAAGCGACTTGAAAACGGACTAAGATTACAAAAATATCCTGAAAGTGGTTATTAGAGCTTTTGAGATGTTCTTGTCAGTCCTGTAGCAGCTGAATGCTCTGATGTAGTTTCATAACCCAGTTTCTTCATGTCTTTAGTCACAATGTTGAACTGTAGTGTAACAAAACCTTGTGAGCGCACCCTCGTAACTGCAAACACACAAAATTGCATCCGCTATGGCTTGTAAATACACCGAAACATCCACTGAAATGTCTTATTTCATTTTGAGTCAAGGGTTAAATAAAAGCTTACCTTCTCTTCCCTCTCCTTGGGCAACAACCTTGGGATCTGTGAATTCTGGACACCTTCCCATCAGCCAGCTGAGTACAAGATATAACATGTTAGATATAGGCCCGGTTCCACAAACGGGGCTTAGCTTAAGCCAGGACTAGGCCTTGGTTAAAGTAAGATATTTAAGCAACTTTTACAAAACTGCCTTAGAGAAAATATAGGTTTGCATCATGACACTGACATATTTTAAGATATGTCGGAGCTAGATATTTTCAGTTGAGACAGCTCAAACATGTATTTTAGTCTGGGACTAGCTTAAGCCTCGTCTGTGAAACCGGGGGATAGAGTATGATGAAAATAAATGTTCTTAAATTACAGTGTACCTTCTCATTTGAAACGTTCATACAAGTTGCCCATTTAACTGAAACGTAGTTCAAGTTAAGTCTTGAGAACAAGAGGGAAGGGCAACAGCAAATTAAATTCAGATCATAACCCAAAGCTGCTGCATTATAAATTGGGTAACTTTAATATTCTGCTGTACAGTGTGTCTACATGTGAATGCAAATGAATGAGGTAACATTGGATTAATTATGAGAAATTGGTTACAACCTTGTGAACTTCTGAAGTCTTGATGTAGACTCAGGAACGAACATAGGAATGGTCTTGGTGTGTCTGGACAGAGAGCATTCACATGTAATTGTGCATTTTACACAGATTTTAAGCTTGTATTATGACAACACAATCTTCGAGTAACTCACTTTCCAGGTGTAAACGGGATGTGTATGGCTCCATAACCTCTCACAACATCATTTCCAAAAGTGTCAGGGCCGTACACACTGACCACAATCTGGGGCCCTGAAGAAATAAAAAAATTAAAAGATAGATGGATACTTAGAAATAGTGGGCACATAAATAAGCTGCTTTACAATCTTCAGAATAATATTCCTTCATCAGATCAGGGTTCCTGCAGGCTTTATGAAGGTAAATTTAAGACGTTTGTGCTACCTTTTTAAGACCAAGTAAATGAATTTAAGGAATAAATTGAAGGGAACACAGTATGTCAGTGTTCTCTGAATGTAAATGTCTAGGAAGCACACAAAAAGTTGTTTTAGCAAAACTTCAAAGCTTGAAAATACAACTTTCAGCAGATCTCCATTACTTCATTCATTTGACAAAAATTGGCTTGAATAGCTCTTCTCCTGGCCACTAGAATGTGGAAATAACTTCTGCTCATGCTACAAAAATGTTTTTTATGTTATTCCGGAGTATTTCTCTCTTGTTTTCCAAAGATTCTAAAAATCTAAATGTCATAGGATAAGAAGTCTTGTTGTGAACCGAGATTAATGTTTAAAACAAGAACAAATATCAGCTAGTGGACTCCGAAACAACTTCCTTAAAAGGGAGAACAAATTTTCATCTTCCATTGACAGAGATTTGTTCTTGTTAAATCATAAACTCAATTCATTTTGTTCAATTTCTCACAAAATAAGACTTCATATCTCTTTATTTTGCATCTCAAATAAATGTTTTTTTGATTTAAGGACGATTAAATATGTATATTGGTAAAAATTCTGAGGATTTATTTTTTTTATTTATTTTTTCAGTGCTGGAGGCATTATTTAATTCCTTAACTTCAGGAATTTAAGATTTTCTGCTCTTTTTAAAGACACTTTTAAGGCCTTAAATTGTGGAAGGGTGAATTAAAACTATTTGTTGCCTTTAAGACCCACAGAAGCTCCATACAATGGATTCTGACTCGATCAAACATGGTTCACTTACAGCCAAATGGGTTCGTGCTTTTGAAGGTGATGTCCAGTGGGAAGTTCCACACCAAACTCTGAGATCCTCTACCTTTAGAAGTTATTTGAGAAATTCCCTCTTCCAAGCCCTTCAGGTTGTGGGAAAAAGTTACAAACTTACTACTACTGTGGAATATATGAGAATACAAAAGCTTATAGCCTATATATCACGTCTCCCAAACAGGGGCAACTCAACTTTAATAATGATAAAGATACTATTAATATTATATTACTATTCACGTTGCATATTATATATACAGTATATATATATATATATATACACACAAAAGGAAGTGAAGCAGGTTGATGTCACTCACTGATGTGGGCGCCCAATCGTGTCCATAAACAAAGCAATACTTGCAGTAAAGATCATCATATTCTGGGAACTTTAGGCAAAATACGACATGTAAGTTATCCTATTAACCCACTTTAATAACAGGCTTTGCACACAGTTTACTACATTAAACACATCTTCTAAAAATCAATGTTAACTTACATCGGCTGCTTCGATTTGCCCATTAACCATGAGAAGAAAAACAGCTGGGTTGTTTGAGGTCATTTCCACACCATTAACACCCTGGAAAACATTTAAAATCCCACCAAACCACCCTCGCTGCACAGAAATATCAGTTCAGATGTCAAATTAATGGATTCCCGTTGTTAACATCCCTCTGGCTGCTATGGACGCTTTAAGTACGGCAGGGAAAACGGTCCAAAATGGCGGAAATAAAAATGCGTTTTTAAAATGCTACTCCGCTAGGTGGCTGTCGTGGATATGACATTGGAACTTTTTTGGTTTTCCGGATTTGTGGATGAAGACTTACGGTTTTTCCTGTGTGGAAATTGGCTCTTTGTTTTTCGCTGTCTCTCAAGACACAAAAGCTTCCAAAAGCTTTGGCCTTTGCACAATAACCTTGGGTTTATATTGCCAGAGCATAAATACACATTAAACACGTCCATGATTCACTACAAATCAAAACTATGGGCACAAGACACAATATTTATTATTATTTTCCACACGAATAACATATAGGCATACGAAATGTCTACACCTTTCCGTGTATTTATTGTGTGAAAGTGTGCAGGTCCCCGCCTGGTGTTTGTCCCAGCCGTTCCCATTTTCTTATGGTACTATTTCACACACCTTACAATGTTAGCACATGCTGGGATCTGGCATGTATGGGCATATTGGATGTTAAATGAAACTCTTTGTGATTCGTAAAGCAGGCGAACGTAATTTAATTGTGTTATGGCATGAAGTCAAGAGTTTTGTTTTCACCTCATTTCCTGTGCAGGGGTAGGCCTATCTGCTTTTGTTTACGAGGTCTGTCCGCCACTGTCTGCTTATCTGCTGTTTTTCCCCTCTTTCGAAATATTATGTAATGTTGTTATGAATCCAACAAAAAATGCCCCCATTTTGTATATGTATATCATTTGTATATCATTTTGACATTTAACATCTCTCTCTTTAAATTAAATAATAATAAAAAATGTGAATAGTGAAATTAATATATTTTTAGATAAATTTTGTGAAGAAGCAGCACTGAGACATTATGGTGTGAAGAAGCTGCATTTAATAAACAAACAACATCCACATCCAAGCCAATAGTGTCAGGATAAATTCCAACAGCAGCTAAAATAACAACAAACTAACCAACCTGTTTCACCTGAGCAGAATGGACAACCATCTCAAGAAGTTGGTAAGAAATTGGTAAGATATTAAATCACTCTCACTTAAATCACTTATTTTGTTCTCAATACATTTTCTCTTGTGCAAAGTGAGCCCTCGAAACAGATACCAAGACCTTGAAACTGAAAACAAAGTGTGAGATATCCATGAAACAAAGCAAAAATTGAAACCCCCCTGAGAGACGACATGCTATAGCCAATCAATATATAAATCCATGAATTGAATTTAGGGCTCAGTCTTTGGTTTTAGTCCTACACCTCAGTAAACTCAGATTCAAGCTTTTTAACCTAGATGAAGACCTGCCTGTCACTTTTTGGCCCAACGATGTCCCAGTTTGAGCTGTCCTCATCTGTTGCCAAATTTCCCTCTCTGGGACCAGGTCTTTGACTTACAGTCACTATTTATAGCAATAGACGTCTGTACTACTTACAAGTCCTCTACGGGACCTGTGTCTCCCTCTTTAGGCCTGAAATAAAGACTCATTCAG